AAGTAGATAAAGCTAAATGGGTCTTAGAAGACTATTACAAAGATAATGATCTGAAGCCCAGCAGACATAAGATGTACATTGTTTATGATAATGAAGGGGTAAGAAAATATATGCAACATTTTGACTGTAATTGTTGTATGTAGGACACAACAGAATTGGAGATTTTTGGTGACGATTTGTCTGATGCAGAACTTGACCAGTCTGTCCACACCGAACCTGAAGTAACAAGTGACTTTAGGGACAAAAATGATAATGTGTATAAACATGGTGAGTCAAAGTATCCTAACTAAGTTTCATTAACTTTGTCATCACTTTTTAGGCTATACATTGCCTAGATTGATTCATTGTGTGGAATGTAGCCAGCTGTTTCGTACCTACGTCCCAAATACAGACTGTTTATTACCTGATGGGAATCTAGTATATTGTAAAGAAAGTCAGACTATTTGTCCTGAGTGTAGTGGTGGATCCTTTTTGAGCATTAATGAAGATCTCTTTCCTCATCTTGCTCAATTGAAAAAAGACTGAGACTCATGTAATCATGCAGTAACATTAACTTTCATTTCATTTATTCATGTTATCATTTATCACCTTTTTGCCATTATTATGGCTCATTTATGACTATCATTTATTCATGTTATCACTTTATTCTCTTTGCCATTATGAATATGGCTCATTTATTACTACTCATTATTCATCAAAAATATGTAGTAAAATACAAAACAAGTCTAATGCAGATTCAAAATTATCAGGTCGTGGTTTGCTGTAAGCTATTCGAATAGCTTCTCCTAATCTGAAGAATTCGTCTGAAACAATGCTTCCTTCTCTACATTCAAATACGGCCTCTATTGCATCTAGAATGCAGTTACTTATTGGTGAAGCATGATCATATGCACCTATAATTGTATAATGTATAATGATGAAAGTACATTTGACAGCATACCATTAAGAAAAGGCAAATGATACAGAACATTTGGGACTCCAGCTGGAGAATTTGCCATCCAGTTAGGCCTTATTCGATGAGAGTTCCACTCAGTAACAAATTGATCTAGCTCCTTTTGAATTAATCTCCCAAAGCAAAATCTTACAATATCTCTAATTCAAAATTAAAAATTAATTAATTAGTTGGTATTTCACTTACAAGTGATATGGTAGGTGTATTTGTAAGTATCCATCAACCATAATATTCTAATGTATAAAATGAATATTATCATTAAAATCACAAAACACACTTTAAAAAATGATATCCACCATTCGGCATGTTGCTTTCTAAGTTGACACCATAGTGCTTCAATCCTCTGTCTGATTACATATAGATTTCCCAAAAATGAAGCTTCTTTTCCCTGAAAGACGGTCTGAATCATAATGTCTCAGAATGGGTTGGACTACAGAAAGTGTAGAATTTTCTGTGCCCCTATCCGCCCTGAGTATCCTTGGACAACCTAAATAGACACACATAAAAATTTAAAGGGCAAAATATCATTTCTACTGACCTTGAGTACGTACTGCATTAACAAAATAACTGGTAATAATTTTGGGATCGTTATTAGATGAAGCAACTTTCAACCAAAGTATCTTACGAGAATATCTAAAATATTATTATGTACCTGTGAAGTACAATACATAACTTGCCCATCAATACAGCCATAAATGGTGATTCCATAGGGCTTCAATTTATCATAGCCATCCAGATGCCATAAATAATTTGGGCCTTTATTGAGATATACTCGGCGTTTCAACCTTCTTGACTTCCTAACTTTAGTGCCATCTGGATCCATTACTGCTAGCAACATCATCACAGTGTCTCTATTGTATCACAAAGCACATAATAATAACTTTACTTTAATACCTCGAAACTGACAACTTGTACTTCATTTGCAGTCTGTGCCATAGACTCCTATAGCCAAGTAAACTCCCCGGTCCTTTTAACTCTTCCTATTGATAAGTCTATTTGTATGAACTCAATAACATAAAAATTACATTAATAGCTTTCATAACATCTTCTAACGAGTTCCTTGCTCCGCTTCCAAGACCATTTGTGATTCTTTGAATATGCCTTAAACTGTTTAATTAAATATAATAGAAATCACTAATTACATTTATGCTACCTAATCTGTTTCACAGGTTGAAGTATATACTGAATCTCTTTCGTACTACATCCAATCCTCTTAAGCTCAGAAATAACACTTTTCAGTTCCGCCATTTTACCACACTCCTACCAGTACCGTACCACCTACGCAGTGCTCCGCCTACGTACGTACGTGGGAGTCACGCCCCATCACACAACCTAATATAATGAACATGAACAAGAATTCAAGAGCACGAACGTGAACGGGAATGTCGTTTTCGGCTTCCGTAGGAAGTATATACTTAATTGAGACCTTAACTGAGAAAAATCCAAGTCGGCTTCATAGCATGACTGCTCTACTTCCTCTACATCATTCTCATATTCTTCTGCATTATCTACTTTCAATAAAATTGACTAGTGGCAAATTGCTTCCTAAAGATCTTGTTGCTGAAATCTACTATTTAATTCTCAAATCAAGAGTTCACAGGCTTCATACTAAATTTGTTGGTGATAGTCCTTTGCTGTACTAAGTTGGTCAGGTTGGGTACCTTCTCGATATCTAGCTGGATGCATCCTATGTCAAGGAAGTTGAAGTTGTCCAATTCCAAATTCCTGAGCTTTTTAAACCACTTTTTCAAAAAAAAGGCAAAACTTTTGTCCTTCCTTTGGCTCTTGTAGTATTCTACTGCAACTTTGATAGAGCTTAGTGCTTCTTGTAATGAGAGATCTTTAGCTTTTAATGCTTTTGATACTTATTCAGATGTACTAAAAAGTAGTTCAGCTAGTTGAAGAACAAACGAAGTGTCAAATTGCTCCAAACAAGTAAGTACTCCTTTTGCTTTTGTTCCATACTCATCGTGAGTTTTCTCATAGACTTCATCCATTGTTTTAATCAAAACTTCACAGTCTTTTAATACAATAGCAATAGCATCTGTTTTGGCAGTGCAACGAGTTGGAGAAATGGACTTTAAAGTCACACAAGAATCTTCAGATTCGTGTAACTTTGACATGAATAGCGTCAATCTCTTTGAAGATCCCTTAAAGGGTAAGTCCGGTGTATTTTTGGTGAATTTTTTTTATTGGCTTAATATGATTGCCTGACCATAATAATGATGTATTCCAACTCCCATTGTCTAAAAAAATTTTTTCACTGAGATATGAGCCTTCAAAAATGCTCATTTTTATTACATCCTGTCGGTGGGTGTGGCTAAACGTGACGTCACTAGAGGCATAGATGAAGATAACTCCATCCCTTTATA